AACAGCTGGATTCACCAGTCTGCCGGTGTCAATGCGCTCACAACATCGTCGCGGGCGTCCGCCAAAGCGCATCCGCAGGTCAACACATACAAGTGCATGTTCGGTGTCCACACATGTGCTCCAAATTGATCGACACTTCTGGACGCAGCCTCTCCAGCGGTAACTGATAGCAATGTGACTGATTTGCGTCCATAGCTGGTTCGAGGCTGGTGGGCGCCAAGTCGCCCTCCGGCGGGTGCTGTGTCGGAAATTAGTGCTCGCAAGAAATAAACGAGCATCCTCACACAAATGAAGTAACCGCTCACCGTTATCGTTGCGGGAGCCTATACCATGTTGGCCGCCAAGATGCAGCTCATCTGCGGATAATTTTCCTACTTGAGCGTTCAGATCCCCAGCCAGCACTACAGTGTCCGAGCTTCTTCTGTGGCGAAGGAGTTCGTTCAGTTGGCGATAGAAGTCGTCATTTACTGAGTCATCGCTACAGTTTGTCGGTGCATAGGCAGCGATAACGAATATACACCTGTTAGTCCCACGCGACTTCGAATTTTTGAACGAGCCAGCCAATCGGACCGCACACATCCGGCTACTGATTGGAATCCAATCAACCAGAGCAGCTTCAGCCCGGGGACTCAGAGCAATACCAACACTGGCTTGGCCGGTACTCGAAGCTGCATCGTCACCGGATAGGCGCAATGAGAAAGTGCTGCTAGTGTCACCTGAAGGGGATCGATGATAAGGTGCTAGGTCTTGATAGATCTAAAACGAAACACCCGAAACACCCTGGTCAACCAATTACTGCCCACGTTCCCTGCACTAGCAGTCCCTGCTGTGTAGGTTACATGAAGTAAGAAGTAGAAAGCAAATGGAAGATAAAGGGGAATGAAAGTCATTAAAATGAAGGATAACACCAAAGAGTGAAGAGAATGACGGAATAACAACTAAAAGTTTGAAGATGGATATGGTCAGGAGAAGGGAAAGTTTCCGTGTTGCCACCCAAGAGCGTCTAACTGACGCTCGAAACCCTTAACCGTAGGTTCACTGACTACACTTTCGGGAAGCGAGTTCCAGCGCTCGATAACTCTACGCGATAACCGAGTTTCCGCCCTGATCCGGTCAGAACGCGGCTTGTGTCGCTTCATGGGATGACCTCGAAGACAAGGCAACCTAGCCGGGCTAAATAGCCAGCTCAAGTCCGGTCCAACCTTCCTTGTTAAAGTGCGGTAAGTAAGGATTAGGTCTCCTCGAAGCCGTCGGTAGTGCATTGAATACATACCCAAGCTAAGCAGACGCTCCGGGTACGATTGCCCCCGCAACCCCTCGACCAATTCGGTACCTACTCGCAAAACCCTCTCAAGCTCCATTTTGTCCCGAACAAGGCAACGCGGGCAAGCATGGCCGCAGTATTCCAGATGGGGCCGAACGAAAGCTGAGAACAGCTTCACAAATATATCGGCAGTTAAGACCCCGAAAGAACGGCGTATTAATCACAACATTCTGAAACCCCTACTTGCGGCCTTCTTCCAGTTGTCACCAGAATGCAAAGACGAGGAATGGACGACGCCTAGGTCTACCTGCTTGGAGAAAAGGGGGAGTTAGATCCTACCGAGTACGTAGCTCGAAGGCGGGGAAGTTGTTCCTATACGAAGGACGGGACACTTCGCCTGATTAATGGGCAGTAGCCGCAAAACAGACCAGTCCGAGTCTGTCCAGGGCATGCTGTATGGTCTCAGAACCCCAAGGAACATTTACAACATTCCATAGCTTAAGGTCATCAGCAAACAATAGGGGTGATACCCCAAGCTCTCCAGGGAGATCGTTTATGTAGATGGAGAACATCATCGGTCCAAGGACCGAGCCCTGTGGGACACCACTAAGGGAAGGCTTGCCTAAAGTATAGGCTGCGATCCACACGTACGCACTGCTGTCTTCCCTGCAAGAACGCAGATACCCAGTGAAGGGCGCAGCCAGATACGCCGTAAGAGCTCAGCTTTTGTGATAGCCTCAAGTGGGGTACCTTATCAAATGCTTTCGAAAAGTCTACGAAAAGCACATCCACCACGTGGCCGTTGTTCATTGCCTCGGCCCAAGCTTCACGAGCAACCAACAAATTCGTCAGACACGAAAACCCCTTCCGGAATCCATGGTGTGCACTACTGAGTAGATTAAATCTAGTCAGGTTACATTCCAACGAATCCCTCACCAGCTTTTCAAGCAGTATGACCACGACGATAATCAGACTGACTTGCCTACACTTGGCTGACAGACTCCTGTCGCCATTTTTGAAGATAGGACAGATGACAGCCTCCTTCCATTCAGAAGGTAATGTACAGTTGTCAAGTGACTTCTGAAACACCATCGTCAGCGGTCCACTCTGTTCCACCGCCAACTCATGCAGAAGCTTCGGGTGAATTGAATCAGGTCCAGCTGCTTTGGAAGGGTTCAGTTCTTGCAGCAGTTTAAGGACTTGCGTTTCCACCACAGTAAACTCAGCTAAATAAGACCCCTCAGGTACTCTGGGGACAAGTTCAACGCTAGACAACGCGGCCTCACGTCCAAAAGACCCTGCATACTGTTCCCCAAGTACACGAGTCTAATCTGAGTCCGCATACGCCCGAGTTCCATCGGCCCGCATCAAAGTTTGGATTACCGAATTTGAACCACAGCGTCTCTTAACATAAGCGAAGAACTTCTTCGGATTTTCCTAAGCTCCATCAGCCAATTCATTTTCGTACAACAGCCGAGCTTTCCTTAAGTGTTGTTTACACCTATTTCTAGCATCGCGGTATGTATCATAGGTGCTAGTTGATGGAGCCGCACGGTAAGTCCTCCAGCACCTAAAACGATTCTGGAGCAGGTACCTGCCAGTGGTATCTATCTACGGCGGCCGCGCTCGTGTCTCCTTTCTCCTCACAAGCGGGATGTAGGGAGTAGACACTTCGTGAGATAAGATTTAAATATACGCCAGGCCGCCTGAATCGTATCAATCACCGAGATTTCGCAACGCAACCCAGAAGCCTTGATACGCATTGCCTGATAGCACGCCGTCTGGAAATGGCTTAGCGATGTTCTGGTGGCGCCTGGTCAGAATACACCTGAACGATAAACAAACCACTAGTATCTAAGGGAGAGCTGTGATGTCTAGTCTAGTGACTTGGCAAACACTAGATCAAAAATAGACGGGAGTTGGGCACCCATGTACTTAGTGGGGAGGTCCACGAACTGATGCAACGGTACTTGTAGCTTAAGCTCAAGTAGATCTGCACCGAAAGTACCTTCCGCCGAGTTTCAAGAAAGATCTGCCCAGCAAATTTCTGGTAGATTGAAATTCCCCGGTATCAAACACCTGTTTGCGGATTGGGAACGAATAAAATCCAGCACCTCTTTGAACGCACTCGCAGGGCTTCTATACACAAGTAAGTTGAGCTGAGGAAGTGCTAATCACTACCGACAGAGCTTCGACAGTTTTATCTGCCGACTGAAACATGTAGGTACGTGAAACGTCAAGTTCACATCTAACGTAAAGCGCAACGCCCCCGCCATGTCGGCCAACGAAGCGATCACATCTAAATAGTGCTTAGCCAGACAGATGTACTTCATCGTCCGTGATGTCCTGAGACAGCCACGTTTCAATGAATGCAAGTATATCGGGATGAGACCCATCTACAAGCAGACCTATCTCGCACATCTTATTCCTTGGGCTCCGCACATTGCTTAGCACTATCGGAAGGTACTCGTAATGTCCAGCCTTGGGTCGTGCGCTACCAGTACTAGCAGTGGTAGGACGGAAACAGACCGCCGGCTGACCACCCTCTCAGTAGTGGTCAGGTCAGGTCAAACGGACAAGAGAGGCTTCCGCCTAACGAGTGTCCAGTTCTTGTGCCGGTAAGTGAAGCGGCCCCCGGCACCTCGACGTTAGATTGTCTCTTCTTACTTCTGCAAAGGAATGAATCAAGAACAAGAGCAATCTTTGCACTTTCATGTGTCAGCATCAAAATACACTACGCGCAGTCCACTCGGCCACCGGTTCGAATCCGCGTAGGGGTGGGCGTCCTCGCGTTATACTCAGCCCGCGCGCGACTGGTGGTGGTCGCGCGGCAGCGAAGCGCCGTTACGGCTTACATATTAAGGTACAACTACAATATCTCTGGAAAAAGGATAGACAATCATCTAAGCCCCATTTGAAGGCATCTACAGTCTCAGACTCCACTATATCAGAAGGAAGTTTATTCCAGAACTTAACTACTCGGTTCGTAAAAAACTTTGCCCTGATGTCCAAACGAGCTCTATGATGTTTGAGCTTTAGACGATACCCGCGCAGATGGTCTGACTTAGCCAAAGCAAACAGATGGGTGGGACTAATACCACGAAGTCTCTTAATGATCTTAAACGTCTCTATCAAGTTCAAGTTCAATTGGGACCGGAACAGTAGGAAAATCGCGCGAATGTTCCACCTTCGAAAACGTCGTTGATCCAACAGGGAAACCGGTGCCTTGATGTGCCAAAGGAGAGCCAAATCGACACACAGGATTCATATGGTCAACCAAACAATGCCCACGTGCCCTGCACTAGCAGTCCCGCTGTGCCGGCCACGTGAAGAATAAAAGAAAACAGTAGTGTCAGTAAAGAAAACAGAGAAGACAAGCTAATCTAATATCGTAGGCAATCAATCTCTCAATCTACGCCATTTCAAGGAAAATAATCCCAAGCCACTTAGACGATCTTCGTACGACTTCCCTCGTTGACCTTCGATCATCCTGGTCGCAAGTTTCTGAATCTTTTCTGTACAAATGACGTCACTCCGGAGGTACGGTGCCTAGGCCTGAACACTACTCCAAATGAAATCGCAAGTTGCCATATTGATCTAGAAAACTGGGAAAAGCAAGAGTAAAATCTTCTAGAAGATATTATTATCCTGTACGTGCTAAGCGCGAAACAGAAGTCGACAAGAAAGCAACGAAGCCCTCACAAAAAGTGGTAAATGACAACATGCCCAAACGGACCGTCGAATACGCCACCAGCAATCCATGGGTTTTTGACGATGTTCCTATGGTACAGCTGCCAAGCGGTAATGAACTATGCTTTAGCAGGCGTACGGTCGGCTTCTAGTTACATTCTAAATCATAACGACGAGCATGGTGCATTGGTGATGTTTCCGCTCCACCCGGGCAGTCTGTTTTCGAATCCTGGGTGCACCGACAAGTTCAAGTTCAGTTGGGACTATAAGGCTAGGATGAATCCCGTAACGTTCCTTCTTGAGCGGGTCATCGATCCAGGAGTTGATAGGAGTGCTCCGACTTCTTGATTAGTTTAAGAGGAAAACACTCGAAAAAACACTGGTCCACCAATTTAGTGCCCACGTTCCCTACATTAGCTGTCCCCGCCGTATCAGTTAGGTGAATTAAGTAGGAGAGGAAGAAAAATCGAAGATCAGTCTGAAGCAAACAATTGTTTTCAATGATTCATCTACAGGCCTGTAGATGACTGATGTTCTTATGAATCACTGAGGATGTTCCATTTGTTAAAAATCGAAGAGTAAGGGAAATAAGTTAAAAGAACAGAATAATACCAATAGTGAGGAAAAGTACAACAAATAGAATCGGTGTTGGAATTCGTTATGAAAATGGACATGTTTCGTGTTGCCACCCAAGAACATCTAAATAAATAAATTAAGCGTTTATTCTCGGCAAGGCGAGGCACACCTTTACAGGCATGATCATTTTGAAAAAACAATGCGTGATCAAGAAGTTGCAAACATCCGATATATTTCATTCGTTCTTTGGTTCATTGGTTGGAAGAGAGCAGAAGAAAGTTCCTTTGTCAGCTCCGTCACTTAACGAAAGTTGCGAAGGTTGCTGGGATCAGTTTGAATCAAGGTTCCCCAGAAGACCGCTGGGGTTGTATTGGGGGCAGCATAATCCTTGCGCACTCATAGAGTGGGAATCCAACAGTCTTTTGAAACTTTCCTCTGACTCAGTATCGACGACGGCCTCTGGCAAGCTGCTCTAGCCATTAATTGTCAGAGTAGATAAGGCCAGAGCAGACCACACACAAAGTCGCCGCGGTTTGAGCAGTTTCCACCGGTGGCTTCGGGTTGCACACTTTGTTTTGGGACGAAAGAACCATAGTAGCTCACTCTAATTTTAACCTCGTATGCTGATCCGTGTGAATATCGAAGGAGTCTGTAAGTCAGTCACAAAGAAGCAGGTTCCAGCCAACAGAATGAGCATTGAAATCCCCAATGATAAGACAATCCTTTCCAGCACCATGTTTCCCGAACGAGCACATCAAGCGGGCTTCGCAGCCTCAAAGCGCTCTGTAGACGACACCATATGTGAGAGGACTCCGTCAGTCATGAACAGGACACAAGCGGGCATCAAACCCATCGTCGGTGTCACCGGTCGCTTCAACTACGTGCACTTTTATATCAGCCTTCCGACAGACCATTACGCCACCGCAGGACTTCCCTCCTTGTCCACCGGATCGGGAGAGGTGTTAACCGGGGAGAGACACCTCTGAATCAGTAATGTCTGTGAATAGCCAGGTTTCAATGTAAACCTTCTAGTCTGGAATTGTCTCTAAGACCAGCAACTGCATTTCCTCCAATTTATTCCTTAGATTGCGCACATTGGTGGTTAACACGCATAGTCCATTTGTGTGCTTCGTTGTCTCGGGATGAAGAGAATGGATATAAAAGGGCTCTCAGGGTCTTCCGAACCACGCAGAAATCTATGATATGGAGTTCTGGTTCACCACATCCTCTGCGAGTTCGTAGCTCCTCAACGGACTTACTCATTTTTATTGTAGCCCCTTGAGAAAGGTCACGTAGTACGTTATCCGGCTGACATTTAAGACGCGAGGTCCGTCACAGAATACGTCGGCCTTCCTCTACTGTTTTGCACACGATTTTTAGGGGGCGAACTTCGGGTGGATCCCCTTGCTTCCTGCCATGCCGCAATGCAGAGAATGTCTTAATTCTCTGTGCGCCTTCATCAAAGAAGTTCGACCACTACTGTAGGTATCCAGTAGTGGTCAAACTTCTTAATCATATGGCTGCACAGCCACTGATACATCCTTTTCTAGTGCCACTATCTCTGCTTAATAGCAGCTAGTCGCCACAGGCTCAATTCAACTTTGCTGATACCCGGAGCTCTCCAGGAGCTGTCATTTCTTACAATGTTCATTCCCTTTGATTGTTTGCGCCACAGCTCGGCTGGTTTGTTGACCTATTCTCTGTCACCGTAGGATCCACTAGTAACTGAAGCCTTAATCCGAATTCTATTGCTGGCCGTTCATCTCTCTCCTAGCGCGCCGTTATCCGTTGCTCGACTTGCTCGCGTGTAATCTTCTTCATGACAGTAGCTAGTCATTGTTGGCTCCATGTAGCTTGCAAGGGACCACTGCTCTACTTGCCAGCCTTCATTTTCCTCTGACGACCGTCTATCGTCTTACCTTCAACACTTAGTCTTCCTTTGATATCCATTTAATCTTATCCTGCTTCTATTATGCTGGACTTCCTATCTTCATATACCTATGTACATTGTACGCATGGTGTCTTAGGAAATCCTTATCCCGTGAGCATATATAAATACGGCCTCATCGTCAATGTCTTTTGGTTTCCGATAACAACCAATGGTAACTACACACCCACTTTCTAGTCTCAGGTAGAATTCGAACATTGTCAGCTTATACCTCATGAATATCCTACCGGGTTCCTGCTCTTCATCCCTATGCACATGAAAGTATTCTACCCATTAGGCCATGCCTTCTGCATAAGTAAAAACAGCTTTAGCGTAATATCTGTTACACATTGTACACTAGTTGTCTCAAATAAATGTCTTAAGGTAGGATTTTTATCAAACGCTAGGTACATTGACTGTCCCTTTTCGGTCTTCTCTCGGCCTGTTCCTCTCTCCCTTTTCTCTGAGGTCGTGAACATCGGAGAGCTTCGGGATTGAACTGAGGAACTGCCTCCGTCTGGGATGGGACGAAATAACCAACAAGAACTTACCTGGACCATGGCCACACTTCCACTCTAACTATTTGCACCCAAACACCGATGTCCAGTGAGGGTAGCTGAACACGAATTCTTCGCTCCCCGGCAAATATACATAATCAGAGAAGACTTCACGTGGCTCTGCGAAGGATCAACACATCATATTCAATAAGAATGTTTAGTACCCGACCTACCAATGGACCGGACCCAGGAACGCAATAGCCGACCACGTATGGCATCAGCCAGCAGAAAAATGGGACGCAACCTGACTGCGAATAACCGAGCAAACAAACGTTCAACAAGAAACAGAGCCAGTTACCATTTGCCATTCAATGGATTGACGGCAGTGTTCCAGGATGTAGTGGGTTTTCGCCTGGCAAGCGTCCTCCCTATAAAAAGCCACAAATGTCCGTTTAACAACACTGCAACGTGGCGTATGTGACTCGCCACCGAATAAAGTCACAGCCCATAACTTCACACTGGCAGGTCAACTAGCGTCACAATTTTAGATAGGATCGTTACACTGGAACTTCTACATCTGCATATACTGTTGTCGTTTTACTTCCTACGATACGCTGACCTTTGCCTTCCTTGTGCATGAACTCACAGTATTGTCATATCTCTCTTGTGCGTGCTCTTCCATTACCTTTCAATGGATCATTCAGGATTCTCAATCTCTTATTAGCTGAGGTCCCGTATCTCATGACAGCCAACTTATTGTTTCGCATTTTCAACATTGTACAGTTCCAATCATGGATATATGAACAATTTTCTACGTCAACATTACAGTTGCATTAAAATGTTTGCACCGTTGTACAAATCTGATCGTGCCTCCATGGGCGTGCCTCGCACAGTCGAGAATAAAATATTTATTTAGTTATAACCAACCGTAGGATCCACTAGTAACTGAAGGCTCAGCCCAAACTCTATTGCTGGTCACTCTTCTCTCTCCTTGCGAGCCGTTATGTGCCGTACGTCCCACTCGCAACAACTCCTCTTGACAGCAGCTAGTCATTGTGGACTCCATGTAGCTTACAAGTAGCCACTCCCTGACTCTCCAACCTTCATTTTCTTCTGCCGTCTGTCTATCTAAAGCTTTGCTCGCATGTCGATTTCTTCATCGAAACTGTAGGTATCCAATAGTCGACAAACGTCTTAATTCTATGGCTACACCAGCCACTGGCTCACTCTTTTCCAGAGCCAATATCTCTGCTTAGCAGCAGTTTGTCACCATAGCCTCCATTTAACTCTGCGGATATCCGGAGCTCTGTGGGAGTCGTTCCCTTCTTACAATATTCATTCACTTGGAATGTTTGCTTTACAGCTCAGATGATTTGCCGACCTATTATGTGCCACCGTAAGATCCACTAGCTACTGAAGGCTTAGCCCAAACTCTATTGCTGGTCACTGTTCTCTCTCCTGGCGCGCCATTATTAGTCGTTCATCTTACTCGCCTCAACGTTTCTTGACAATAGCTAGACATTGTTGGCTCCATGTAGCCTACAAGGAGCCACTTCTTGACTCTCCAGCCTTCATTCTCTTCTGCCGTATGTCACTCTTAAACCTCGCTTGCCTGTTGACTTCTTCAACAAAGCTGTAGGTATCTAGTAGTGGACAAACGTCTTAATACTATGGCTGCACCAGCCACTGATTCATTGTTTTCTAGAGCCACTATCTCCGCTTAGCCACAGCTAGTCACCATAGCTTCCATTCAACGCTGCGGATATCAGGAGATCTGTAGGTGTAGCTCCATTCGTACAATGTTCATAATCTTAGAATGTTTGCGTCACAGCTTAGATGTTCTGTTGACCTATTATGTGGCACTGAAGGATCCACTAGGAACTGGAGGCGTAATCCGAACTCCAATGCTGGCTATTCATTTCTCTTCTAGCGCGCCGTTATCCTACTCTGGTCAACTCTTCTTTGTAATAGCTAATCATTGTTGGCTCCATGTAGCTTACAAGTAGCCACTCCCTGACTCTACAACCTTTATTTTCTTGTGCTGCCTGTCTCTCTTAAGCTTCCTCGCA